ACTGGAAACCAGTTCTGAGTCAGAGGCCACACTAGTGGGCATCTCTCCATCTACCAGCCCACCAGGTGCCCGGTCCCCGGACACTGACCTCGGAGAACCCATGCATGCATCACCCCCTCGCAAGACCAGGGTCCGCATTGCCTCCAGCTACTACCCCGAATGGGATGGGGATTCCTCCTACCTGCCACCCAAGAAGTCCTGTGACGAGGACCTCACTTTCCAGAAGGCAGATGAGCTGGGGCAGAAGTGCCGCCGGCCAAAGTCTGCGCCTAGTTTTCAGCCCAAGCTTGCTCTGGTAGTGATTCCTGCTCAATTCCTGGAGGAGCAGAAATGCATCCCAGCTAGTGGAGAGCTCTCCCCCGAGGTGCAGGAGTGGTCCCCTTACTCACCAGGGCATTCCAGCTGGCATGGGAACCCCCGCTCTACCCCAACAGGCCATCCGTGGGAACTGTTCCCTGGAGCATGACCCCCAGCGCTGCTGTGAGCTCCATCCTGCGGAACCCCATCTACACTGTGCGCAGCCATAGGGTTGGCCCCTGCAGCTCTCCACCTGTGCCCCGAGATGCTGGCCCCCAGGGCTTGCCTCCCAGTGTCCAGCACCAGAGCCGCCTGAGCCTGGACCTCAGCCACAGCGCCAGCAGTGACTATGCTGAGATGAGAGCCTCCCACGGGTCCAACTCGCTGCCTTCCAGCGCCTGCCTCAGGTCTTCCAGTAACTTGCAGTTCAAGGCAGAACGCATTAAGATCCCATTAACGCCGAGGTCTGTCATGGGCTCTGACAGAGGTTCATTGTCACATTCCGAATGCAGCACCCCTCCGCAGTCGCCCCTCAACATTGACACCCTGTCCACTTGTAGCCAGTCCCAGACCTCTGCCTCTACATTGCCCAGGATTGCTGTCAACCCTGCGTCCCTCGGGGAACGGAGGAAGGACAGGCCTTACGTGAAGGTACAGAAGGGCTCAGAGCCTTTGGGCATCTCCATTGTGAGTGGAGAGAAGGG